GACGTTCTTCCCAAGGGGAGAGGTGAGTGGGCCTCGCCTTGCCCCGCATCAGCAGGTGATGAGGTCGGGCGGCGGGAAGGGATTCGCGCTCCAGAACAGTTAACCCACTACTGCCAATGTGTCGGAGACTCCTTGTCCCCGATCACGGATTATTGGGGGGCAGAACAGGCAGGGTCTCAAGGTGGGAGCGGCACCAGCCCGTCGAGATTCCTAGAAAAGGGGGCAAAGGGGGAAAAAGGGGAGCGGGCGCCAGGAAGAAATGGGAATAGGAGTTCGGTGCAAGTCTTCCTGCTCTTTTCAATCTGGCCGAGGGATGACATTAGCATATGAAATGGGCTGAGATCACAATCACCTTTTTTTTTCTAAGAATAGACTGGGGTCCTTTTGCCTTTGAGTTGAGATAACATTTTTAAAATCAATCTATCACAAAGTTTAAGACGAATACTATTATAATATATTTACCACAGTGAAGGTTAACCAAAATAAAGCCCCTTAAATCTTACCTACTACTTAATGGCTGTCATTCTCATGGAGACCTCCTAGGGGGTAAAGTAAAGTGAGGGCAGGAAGAGGAAAATTTTGTAAATCAAAGTACAGTAAAGTATTTTGAAAAACTTGTTACAAAGTTTAAGTGAATTTCCTTGAAGTCTAGAAGGTAGAAAACCTGGTTAGCTCTGAATAGGCGACTTGGGTCAATTTCCATATCTAAAGACAAGATTGTAGAAAGGTTGAGTGGTTATTTAGAAACTGAATAGAAGGCTACTTGAGATGGTAGAGTGCTGAGTTTTTGGGTTTCCCTCAGTCCTGGAAGTGAGAGAGACTTTGCAATAACTGCCTTTTGCTTTCATTAATCCGCCCGTTGTTAAATCTCTTTTGACTTCAAGGGGAGTTTCTGGCCCTGGTGCAGTGCTTGCTGTCAGGGCCAGGTAGCACCTTATGAGGCTGAGGCAATCCAATCATCAACTGAAGGTTGCTCAGAATATTTTGCTAATACGATTATACACCAAAGAGAGGTCATAACATACGTTAGCGTGGGAAGTCTGATTTCTCAGAGCATTTGCCCTCCATCCGTACAGTGTCTTTTGGCAGAGGTTGCATTGCTTGTGTCATCAGTAACTTGCTCTTCCTACCCACGCTTCTGTAACTGAGTTTTGCAAGAATTCTCACACGGAGTATACCAGTCAGGTCGCTTCCTGCGTCCAGATCCTCACCTGAATTTTCTAGCGAACTCGTTTTAGCTTTAGCTGAGACTTTGTTTCCAGGTAACAGTTTAAGTCAGGGAACAAGAATCCTCCAGCTTCAAGAGCAAGGCCTTTGGCTCTTCCTGGTCCTCTGTGTGCCCACACACGTCTGGGGAGGGGGGGGGTTGGTTCTGTTTCTGTGAAAAATGCCCTTGTGACTTTGATCAGGATTGCACTGAATCTGTAGTTTGCTTTGGGAAGTTTGCAACTGCAATAGTATTAATTATGCAGTGGTGAGCACAGTATCATTCTCTTATTTGTGTTTTCAAGTTCTCTCGCATACTTCATAGGTATT